CTCAGCCTTTCAAGTAGCCAGAACTACAGGCGTGCACTACCACACCCAGCTAATTTTTGATTTATTGTAGAGATGAGGTCTTGCCAAGTTGCTGCGGGCTCAGGCAATCCACTTGCCTCGGCCTCCCAAAGTGCTGGTGAAGGAACAGACCAAGAGTGGAAAACCACTTTTCATCTTGTTTTTTTTTTTTTGAGTTGGAGTCTCACTCTGTCGCCCAGACTGGAGTGCAGTGGCCGCTCCCGGCCACCACAGCCTCGACCTGCTGGGCTTCGGCGATCCCTCCGAGTAACTGGAACTACAGGCATGTGCTACCACGCCCGGCTGATTTTTGATTTATTTTAAAAGATGAGGTCTCGCTGCCCAGGCGGGTCTCGAACCCGCGGGCTCAGGCAATCCACTCACCTCAGCCTCCCAAAGGCACGGGATTACAGGTTGAGCCACCAAGCCCGGCCATCTTGTTCTTAAACCCTGACACAATGATGAGAAAGTAGAAGCTATGCTTTTGGAGAAATGCACACTTCAGGTAAAATTAACTTTGCCGATTTTGTCTTTTCAGAAACAGACTTCCTGATGCCAGGTATCAGAAGTATCTCATAGGGGCAATCAAGCTTGCCTAGAGTAAACGGTATTTACAAGGGCTAAGACATCATACATTGGTCAAGGATTATAAGTCATAAAACTTGTAATTACAAAAGTTATGGCCACTCAGAGGGGGAGCAGGTGGGGATTTGATCTTCCAGTAAATTGGGCACTATCTATAGAAAAGCCAAGGATCCCCCGAAGCTACCCCCTGGGAATGCCTAGGAGATAAGGGGAGGTGTACCTTCCACTAGCTCTAAGGTATGTCGTTTGGGAAGGTGCAGAAGAATTAGAATCCTTGTCACACCCTTCTCTGGGGCTATGATAATGTGGGTGGACATTAGTGGATCTCTGTGTCACAGGTTCTCTAAGACATCCACAGGTGGCCAGTAAGGAAGTCATGGCAGTCACGTGCAACATCTCCAAGAAAAGAATTTAAGCCAGGGCTTTGGGGACCTATGACACCACACTTACCTAGAATGTAGGCCCACTCCCTGTCTGTGAGGGGCGAAGTTTTCTTAAATAACTAGTTCCTTTTCTCACCTCTTTGTGTCGCAATTCTTTGCATTTACTCAGATCTCTGGGTTGCCAGCCTGCACCTCTAGCTTGCCGGCTCTGGCGGTGCTGCGCGCCTCCCTGCGCCTCTCCCTCTCCATCCATCCACCCTCACCTTGTCCGTACTCTAACAGCTGGGATTACAGGCTGAGCCACCAAGCCCTGCTGAGTTTTCACTCTTTTCCAAAGATTGCTTTCCATATCAATATCTCTAGGATTGGAAAGATATAAAGTGTGGGTGTTCTTGTTTCTCAGACTCAGCTTCGCCCAAAAGGAATATATCTTCAGCACACACT